GTAGCATCTGTAAGTGTTATGAGTAGCATCTACGATGTTTAGTAGACATCTGCTATGATGTTGTAGGTAACATCTATGATGTTATGGTAGCACATCTACGATGTTATGGTAGTATGTATGATGTTATGGTAGCATCTGCGATGTTATGGTAACATCTATGATGATATTATGGTAGCATCTCTACGATGTTTGGTATATATGATGTTATGGTAACATCTATGATGTTATGGTAACATCTATGATGTTATGGTAGCATCTACGATGTTATGGTAACATCTATGATGTTATGGTAGCATCTATGATGTTATGGTAGTATGTATGATGTTATGGTAGCATCTACGATGTTTTGGTAACATCTATGATGTTATGGTAGCATCTATGATGTTATGGTAGCATCTATGATGTTATGGTAGCATCTATGATGTTATGGTAACATCTATGATGTTATGATAACATCTATGATGTTATGGTAGCATCTACGATGTTATGGTAACATCTATGATGTTATGGTAGCATCTATGATGTTATGGTAACATCTATGATGTTATGGTAGCATCTATGATGCTATGGTAACATCTATGATGTTATGGTAACATCTATGATGTTATGGTAACATCTATGATGTTATGGTAGCATCTATGATGCTATGGTAACATCTATGATGTTATGGTAGCATCTGCGATGTTATGGTAGTATGCGATGTTATGGTAGCATCTGCGATGTTATGGTAACATCTATATGATGTTATAGTAGCATCTACGATGTTTGGTAACATATGTGATGTTATGGTAGAATCTATGATGTTATGGTAGCATCTACGATGTTGTAGTAACATCTATAGATATTATGGTAGCATCTACGATGTTATGGTAACATCTACGATGTTATGGTAGCATCTACGATGTTATGGTAGCATCTACGATGTTTGGTAGCATCCTGTGATGTTATGGTAGCATCTATGATGTTATGGTAGCATCTACGATGTTGTGGTATATCTACGATGTTATGGTACGCATCTACGATGTTTTGGTAGCATCTATGATGATGATGATGTTATGGTAGCATCTATATGATGTTATGGTAACCTTCACGATGTTATGGTAGCATCTACGATGTTATGGTAGCATCTACGATGTTGTGATAGCATCTACGATGTTATGGTAGCATCTATGATGTTATGGTAACATCTATGATGTTATGGTAGCATCTATGATGTTATGGTAACATCTATGATGTTATGGTAGCATCTATGATGTTATGGTAACATCTATGATGTTATGGTAGCATCTATGATGTTATGGTAACATCTATGATGTTATGGTAGCATCTATAATGTTATGGTAACATCTATGATGTTATGGTAGCATCTATGATGTTATGGTAACATCTATGATGTTATGGTAGCATCTATGATGCTATAGTGTTTTGTATGGTATAATGGTAGCACATATGGTATTATGATGCCACCTATGGTATTAATTATGGTACCACCTATGATATTGATTATGGTACCACGTATGGTATTATGATAGCATCTAGTAAAGTAATTCCTCCTCTCCCTCTCTTAGTTGCCTCAAATAACGTTAAGTTAGCGGGAATACGAGGCTACGGACGAGTGAATCACCTTGCATAATCGGACGAAATAATAGTATTAAAACAATTCCCTTAAACGGAGATTTACATCACCAAACAAAAGCAACCTATAAGAGATAATGACTAACATAAAAGGTGTGGCTACATCAGTGAGGTAATCTTTCCTCACCAAGAACCAGTTTTTACCTCACTAACTTTCCCTCACGTAGACACTGCTAGGCTGGTGCTGTAAACTTTACTAGCGTAGCGTCGTCAGTCGGTTAGAGACAAAGAGAATTTAACAAGTTTTTTATCGTGTTTTATTCCGGGTGATTACAAGTGATCTTCCCTATTTTAAATATTTATTACGAAAAACTAATAGAGCTAGTTAATAATATTGCTCCATCGCTGTCAACAACTTAGGGGAAATTTGAAGGAAAGAATGCGTGAGGCCGTTACAAAAGTTCAGTATGGAGGGAAAGAAAACGATGTCTACAGAGCCACGAATAGAACGCGCATAACTTTTAAGCATTTTGTTTAATTCTCTATTATTTATCTTGCTTTTTTCGCTATAGCTATTGTTAATTTAGTCCGAATAAATGTAAAAAATATGGAAGATCATTGTAGTCAACCGGTATATAGAACTGGTTGGGTTATAATACTGTGGTAGAGGGGGAGGAGTATTATATATCCTAATCATGTAATACTATCTTGTTAGGTGGTAGGCAGCTACCAAACAGGGAGGTACTACTGCCTGGGAAGATATTAGAAGCATAGTGTGTTGTCTGGTGGTAGACCCTGTTGCCATATGGCATCACGAAAATTGTGACCAAGTCCTTGGTTGCTGATTTGATTTTCTGTCTCATTTACACACAATTGCAGGGTCTCAATTGTTTCTCTTACTTTGACAACACAATATACATATATTGTTTCTCACTATTGATCTATTTTATTTGTTTTATTTTTTATGGTTCTTTATTATTATTATTATTATTATTATTATTATTATTATTATTATTATTATTATTATTATTACATTTTCGCCCCCCAGGCCCCGGTGTGGGTCATTGACCTGTGCCCGGGTGGGCTAATCCCAGTATAAGAAAAAAAAAAAAAACTACCATTTCTAAATTCCTTCACACCAAAGATTATCAATCACAGGCCAGTTTACGCCAGCAGTTTATGAAGTAAATGTCGTGGCTGAGGGACGGTGTGTGTGTGTGTGTGAGTGTGTGTGTGTGTGTGTGTGTGTGTATGTCCTTCACTGTATGTATGTGAATATTAGTAGAACAAGGGAACAAAACACATGCCTACCCTGGGTCCCCCTGTCCCCAACACCGTACTTCACCACACGGAAATAATAAATAGATCACCAGAGGATTTATAACCCTTATGCTAACCTAACCTAACTTAGTCACCAAGGATCCGAATCTTCTTGTTACACGTTAAGAAAGGGCGGAAAGAAGCCCCTGGGCGACAGGAACCAGCGCCTTGTATAACGCATTAATTGGTATTCCGGGGCGGTGGGGGGGGGGGGGGCGTGGGAGGGGGGGATTCTTTCACACTCTGGTTCTGCTACAAGTTCTACTAGTTCCCAGAGAGACGTGGCTTCCTGGTGTTGGTTTAGATACAGGTTCTACAGGAGGGAGGAAGAAGGTTCGACCGAGCAAATGTTGTTGTCAGGACCACAGTTTCCCGCCGCAGTGACTAGTATGTAATTATCTCTATCTCTTTCTCATGTTGTCAAGACTATAGTTTCTTTTTTCCCGTGGGAGTGACTTTATAACTTTCTATATATAGCACTCTACCCTACCACCAACACACCTCTTCCCTCCACCATGATTCCCGCACCATTTCACCGCTATTGTCTACTTGCCGTACATTGTAGCAGCATCCTGTACAGGGAGTTCCGGTGTTAGTGGTGCTTAATTTGTTTTATTGTAGCCCCGGCGGTGATCTATTACTTAAATACGAGATAATAGTCCTTTGCTATTGCTGATAACAAGGTTGTTTAGGCTGTAGTCTGAGTCCGGATGTCTGGTGCGAATGAACCGGACACATCTATCACTTATAACAGATGCTATGAGAAATATTAACACACACACACACACATTATACCTAACTCCAATCCACATTAAATAAAACCAAACGAATCTTAATCTGACCTAACAAAACCAAACCAAACTCTATCTAACCTAACCCAACCCACCCTAATCTAACCCAACCCACCCTAACCTAACCCAACCCACCCTAACCTAACCCAACCCACCCTAACCTAACCTATCTCGGATTCACTAGTCATGTTAATATTTTGTATCTTTATAAATATATCTCAATGTCTTATTGCTATTTTTCTTACACTTATTTGAGCTTTTTGTTACGTTTTAAGCTCTAATGAGACGACTCACTAGGAAACATTGGACTCATATTTACATTGTGACTTTATCTGTACTTGTTTACATACCGTACTGTACATTATACTACACTAGCAGAATCGCCGTCCTCCGGCGGCTCATCCGCTAGGCCACGGTAGGACGCCACCCTCCGGGAGGCTCCACATTGTCTCACTGTTCAGTCCCCAAAACTTCTTCTTCCATCAATAGTTCATTAACGGTGTATGTAAGTTCCACCATGTTTTTCACTACAACGGTACAACAAAGTATATTTTTAGCATTAAACTGTTATTATTTTATTATCTAATCATCACTACATACAGCACCATCATCACTACATATAACACCATCCATCATCACTACATATAACACCATCCATCATCACTACACCACCCATCATCACTACATATAACACCATCCATCATCACTACATATAACACCATCCATCATCACTACATATAACACCACCCATCATCACAACATATAACACCACCCATCATCACTACATATAACACCATCCATCATCACTACATATAACACCACCCATCATCACTACATACAACATCCATCATCACTACATATAACACCACCCATCATCACTACATATAACACCATCCATCATCACTACATATAACACCATCCATCATCACTACATATAACACCATCCATCATCACTACATATAACACCATCCATCATCACTACATATAACACCATCCATCATCACTACATATAACACCACCCATCATCACTACATATAACACCATCCATCATCACTACATATAACACCATCCATCATCACTACAGATCGGTAAAGTAGTTTCCGAGATTCTCATACGGACACACACACAAATGAACACACAGACAAACAGACTTCTTTGTTTTATATATATAGATATTGTGTTTGTATACTGTATGTATGTATATATAAACCGTACACTATATAATGTTTCTTTCTCAAAACACTAGTAATCGTTTGGTTTTGGTTGTATTTATTGTAGTATATTGTATTAAATCTTGACTTTTTCTTTTTACAGGACTTTAATTAGCAGCAAAATATAAACAAGACAAGCAGTAACTATTATGCTATAAGGATGAGAGCAACACAGATGGTGAGGTGGTAATATTACACAACACCTCTCAACAACTTATAAAATAACCATATAAAACAAAATCATGAATTACAAAGACAGAAAGTCGCTTCTCACGCTGGTGTTGGTGGCGGGTTGTGTTCACCAGATCAGCTCACAAGGTGATGACACATTCACTCATCATCCAGTGGTAAACGGTCACACCCGTGGACCAGTGGAACGCCTGTACAACAGCAGCCTGACTATTCAAGCCAAGAGCCGAGAAGACCAAACAGTCGACGAGTGTTTCTCAAACCTCAAGGATGACCACACCGAGGACCAGGTAAGTCATCCTCAACATTTAGACAACAAGGTGAGTTAGTTTACACCTATACAAACGTGACTAATTTTAAGCTTAATTCACCTGAAGATTAACCCCCTAGCTTTTTCCCCTTGAAGATTAACAACCCTAACGTTGCTTGGGGGCGGGTGTTAGGTTAGGTTAGGTTAGATTACAATAAATTAGGTTATTTTTAATTAGGTTAGGTTATATTAGCTTTAGGTTAAGTTAGATTGCAATAGATGAGGTTAAGTTAGATAAGGTTAATTAAATTAGATTGGGTTATATTAAGTTAGGTTAGATTAAGTGGGTTATCTTTAAGTTAGGTTAAATTAGATTAGGATTTCGTTAGATTAGGTAAGCTCTAGGTTAGGTTAGGGGTGGGTTAGGGTTAGGTAATCTTTAGGGTAGTTAAGCTTAAGGTGAAACAAGCTGAGGGGGTTAATTTTCAGGTGATCTAGACGACATACAGTATTACAGATATACAACATATGTTAAAAGTCCTGGATTATGTGAGGGTTAGAACTACACACACACACACACACACACACACAGAGTACAGATGTTTCCAGACACATTACGTAAATCTGCCTAAGTTGCCAATCGCTATGTAAAATTGTATTACGTTTCTGATCATCATGACCTAATCAACCACCTTCACATGTTAGGTTGTGTCGAATAACTGTCCGTAGTATCATCATCATGTACTTCCAGGCGTCGCCACCAGGTTTACACATCCACACGGCTGATTGGTCGAGGAATCAAGCGTATTGGAACTTCAAGAATTGGTGATTGGTCGATGGTAGACATTTCCCAGCTTTGACCACCCAACCATCCAGCCACCGATATTGCCTGGACAAGCTCTGGTGGTGGTGACGTATGACTATCTCAAGAAGGTAGGAGATAGAGAATAATGGAGTAAATATGATGAGTACGAAGGAGGGGAGGAAGAAGGGATTAGGGTAATGAAGTCAGGAAGAGGGAAGAACAATACAAGAGATATAGGGAATAATGACGAAATAGAGGAAAAAGATGGGAGAAATTGAGATGATTCTAGTATGGATATGATAACGAAGGATGAAAGAGGAAAATAAGTACAAAAATAAAGAGATAGGAAAGGGAACAGAAAGGGAGAAGAGGATAGTAGATGCAAAATACAAGGTGAGATAAATAGAGGGAGAAAAGAATAACACAAGAGAAGAAAGACAGAACAGGAAAAGATGAAAATGAGTAGATATAAAAATAAGAAAATAAGAAAAATCGAGGAAAAAATAAACAATAGAATAAGAACTAGCGGAAGACGATTTAACTGTGCTGATAAATGTGGAGTAACAACGGGTAGTAACTGGAGTGTAACAACTTAGTATACTCCACAGGTGTATGTACAGAGGCATGTGGCTGAGGTGGACAATATAACACTCCACTACAGTTTCTATCTGAGTGAGGGTCATCCACCAGACGCCGTGCCTGAACTGAAGGTATGTTCTCTCTCTCACTCCTCTCTCGGGTGGTCTCTCTTTTTCCTTGCTTTTTTGTAATCTCCTCTTTGTCTGTTTCTCTATTTGTGTGTCTTTCTTGTTTTCACTTCCTTTTGTAAAATTTGCCTTATCCCATTGGTGTCAAACTCAAAACCTTTCGAGGGCCAATTTCTTATTTTTAGTTTCTCTCTTCAGGGCTAACACAAGAGCTGTATCACATATTTGTAGGATTGAAGTTTACAGGTTCACATTGCCTTACCTGGCTTACCAGGATTCCTCATTTGGGTTTGTCTGATCTTAAGTGTAAAATTTGTTTTACTGATAAACATGATTATATCTATTTTTCTTACATTTCAGGATGATAAATTTTACTGTCATCCCGCTGGCCACACCCGTGACCATCTCAAGGGCCACATATTGGCCCACGGGCCATGAGTTTGACACCCTGCCTTATCCCTACACCCCATGTCCCTCCACCCCACACACCCTCAGCGCTTTTCATCGCCCCAGTCGCACACCGTACACTTGACACTACTTTGCGTCCACAATAGCCATTATGATGGGGTTGGGTGATTGATATTCGACGTTGTGTTTCGAGGCCACCCAGGCTCCCTCCCCTACTCCTCGTTTCAGTTAGTAACAACAATCGATAAGTAACGATGGGAAGCAGAGTGAGACCGACAAATGTAATAACCAGATAACGAAGAAGGGCAAGACCAAATGAAGTTTCGAGATACGGGTGAGGTTTGTTCATTTCAAAGTCAAACCACAGAAGGGTTCTCTCTCTCTCTCTCTCTCCTCTCCCTCTCCTCCTTTCCAATGATAAATTCTTGCTTTCAGGATCGTGCGGTTTTGCAAGTCGTTGGCTCCATAATGTCGACGATATCGCCAAGCTTCGCTGTTACGGGTATGAACGCACTTTGGCATTTTACTGGTCTTCCTTGCCGTGTATGTACGCTCCTTGAGAAACTGCAGAACACGAACCAGGTGCGTAGAATAGGTGAACTGGACTTTTCATCTCAGAATGTTTTTCGAGATTTTCCTTCATTTTTAAGATTGTATGGTGCGTTTCAGAAGTTTTGGTGAGGTGGACAAAGTATGGTATACCACAGGGCCTGAGATAGACCTTTATATTGTGTAACTATTTGCAGGTGTACTAAGTTTGACGGGCACGACACACAACTGCTGGCATCAGGGAATACCGGGCTCGTGGTCATTCAGAACCACTTATACTTCAGCAACCTGGGCCCACCACTGTAGGTCACATAGATAGATAGATACTTTTCCAGTAAAATCGCCTTACAAGTTTACGGTGGTTCAGCGTACATAATAGACAAGGCAGGTATAAAGTGTACATAGACAGTGTAGGTATATTGCTAAACTTTAAGGCAATTCGACATGAAGATAACCAACAAACTCATCAAAATCACTTTCACATTTACACGAGGTGACAGTCAAGTATCATTTTGGTTGGTTTGAGACAAGAACCATATAAGTTATTTGTGTGGTAACGGAATGCTTAATTTTACCGATTTTTATATCAGGGTAGTAGTTTCTTAAGTTTGATTAATAAGCAAAAGGATCATACTGGAAATAATAGCATTTGGTCGTTTTTTTTGAATATGTGGTCGGGTGATTTTGTTTATTAAACCCCTGAGGTACAGTTCACGCCCATTATAAGCCACACAGGCCCGGCAGCATCGTGTTCCTAACAAGGCGACTTTACTGGGGGTATCCCTCCACCACTTCCAGAAACACAAACCAGGCAATTAATCAGTGAGGTCAGTCAAAGTGTAAAGTCAATGTTGTGCGGGAGCAGGTTAGTATGAATAGTTTTTAGAGCAGAAGATTACATGCTATCAGGCTTGATATGAGAACTGATAGAAGCTTCATTCCCTGACCTTGCCATTTTCATAGCATGTGACTACGTGATAGCGGGATCATCACCGTGAATAATGCAATGGGGTTCTGTTGTGGAAGTTTTTTATCTTTAGGAAGCTGGGGTGACGTGCCTTGGGCAGGGTTAGCCCTGGTTAGTTGGTTGTTAGACAAATGAGACATTACTGTAGGATTAGAGGATGTAGGAGGGAAAGGAAACGCTCCTGACACACTGGGTTTTGGTGTTGAGGGAGAAGGAACAGACCCGTAATGAGGTGCGGTGTTGTATGTACGACCTGACCTAAGGTGAGTAAGGTGTAAATCACCAAATAGTGATCTATTAATTATTCACTATTACCAATGGAGGTTTTGCTGTAAATCAGTTGGTGTTCCATGCAACTCTCCTGTAATTCCTGTATGGTTGCCAGCTCGGGAGGCAATGTGTCGAATCGTGTGTGTGCATTTTGTAATGGTGATCAATAGTACTTAATGTTTGTGATCACTTGTAGGGGACTTCTTTTCACTTAGGTAAGAGCGAGGTATGTTATCAAAAGTTATAATGTAAAAAAGTACAAGGTTATACTAAGCAGTAACTTGCATCCATATGTTACAGTAAGTGAATGAAAGTATAAGTGATTCACTAATGAAAGAGTATATATTAAAATATTGCGTAAATAATCAACGGTAAGGCACTTGAAATAAAAACGTAGCCTATAATTTGTCTGTCGTTTTTGTGATGTTATGCTTTGTAGGAATATGTATAGTGTTATTGGAAAGCTGTGCTTGTTGGTGGAAGTACCTAACACGAAGACTTGATTGAAGTCTTGAAGTTCTGGTAGGTAGATCTGTAGAGTTCCGCGTGATACAGTCTGAGCTGGGGAAAAGAAGTCACTGTCACGTCTTGTTTATAGAAGTGAAAATCCAGGAAGGCGTCTTGCTTTGACTTTGGAGTGAACTTTCCAGCCGTCGATGACGTGTCCAAGATGGCGTTGGTGATGTACTAGTTGCCGGGGGTGGTTGAGTTACCCTTAACCAAACTCAAATCGGATGATCCAAGCGATGTCGAAAACAGCCGTCCGTTGTAACACTGGTGCACTGGGCCAGGTGGTGGGTTACACGGTGGGTCACGTGGTGGGTCACATTGGGTTCAGTCACTGTAATGGGTGTTGGGGGTCAAGTGAGTGCTGAGATAAGTGGTGACAATTCAAAACATGTGTGGTGCAGATGCCGGGGGGGGAGGTCTCTGGGATGGGGCTTCTTGTCGCTGGGATAAAAGGCAGTTGTTGATGTTATGTTTTGGTTGTAAACAGTCGCGATTAGCGTCTTGAAGACAGGGTTACTAAGACGTCCAGAGAATGTCAATGGTGCCTAGTACAGTGGTGCCACATATACCATAAGTTATGAAATGTATGAAATCACTTATAATGAAAAAGAAACCTTTGAACTTGAAGGTTGAACTGGAACACTGAACAGGCGGAAAAGATACGGAGTTAAAAAAGGGTAGATTTCGTATGTGCAAAATGGAGGACGTTGGAAAGTATTGACCAATAATTGTCAGTTTTTGTATAAAACACTGGTTTTTCAAAACTGTGAATTTGCTGCCACATATGTTAGCTTCCATTTACCTGTTGCAATCACTGATGAAGATCCTATTGAGTCAGTATTCAAGGTATCATGGAAGTAACTTAAATGTATATGGGTTAAGTTTTGAAACCCGAATAGTCTTTTCTCCATTTATTAAGAAAACAGTAGCGCACAAATAGTTAGGATATCACTGTAATTAACTCTGTGAGCGTTAATAAAGGATGGAGCTTATGTAGCGAGCTAGATGACTCACCTCACGAGACTTGGTGAGAGACTGGAGAGAACTGAGTGTAGGGGCACACTGCCAGTGGCAGTACTTACTGTTGACATAGCCAGGGTAGAAGGCTAGAGGTCATCTTATAGGCCAGAAGATTAATTACCATACATCACTTCACTTCGAGTATTAGAGGAATGGCAGGCACTGCTCATGAGTTTGTTAATTACCCTGGGTGTAGTAATTATAAAACATAATGTATGTTGTCCACAATTATATAAGTAAGTATTGAGTGTGTCTGTTAGAGGCTAATACAGCCTTATTTATACTTAGTTAAGAGTTGGGGTTCAAGTTTTTGAAATTTGGATAATTAGTGTTAATTGTGAGGCTTCAAATAAATAAGGTACATTTAAAAATATTAAACGTCAATTACTCTGTGCCTAATATGGAGAGAATGAATGTTGTCCATATAATACTGGATGCTAATGAGGACATATTGCTAAACATAACAACATGTTGATGCATCTCTTCCTATATAGTCTGCCAGTAGAACAGAACCCCCTCTCCCTCCTTTTTCCTTGCCACACCGCTACCGTCCAGCAGACAGCTGATAGGGGCCAATGACGTTATATTTTGTAATACCCGGTATATATTAATATTATAACTACCCAAGCAGTGCTTGTATCCACAGATAGAGGTGGAATGCTTATTTAGCATCCTTAGGCTGGTTACTATTGCAAAGTTCCAAAGGGTATTGTTACGAGTTGGGGATTTAGAATATAGTTAAAAGTCTACCCAGATCCCAACAGGCAACAAAAAAAAAACAAAGACAATCGGACTATAAAAGGGTAGACAAAGGATGCGAGTTTTTGTTGTGTATAATAAGTATATAAATTCCTTAACAAAATGTTCAGCTTTCTCTATAATTTACGCCTTAACCATACTTAACCTAAACATTAACAGTATATACATATTTATACACATACAATAATTTGAAGCAAGGGTGGAGGGGGCGAAATACAAGATTACAAATACTTAAGTGCGGGCTGAGATGGCTGACGAGTAAGGCTGAGTATTGTAGAAGACGGTAGGTAGTCTGTGCCGTAGGTTTCAGGATAGGTGATCCTGTGGTACTTCCCAATAGTGAACTGAACTCTCTCGAACTGGAGCTGACAAAGAAGACTTTGAGGAGGTGACGCAACAACCAGGATATGGAAGGGAAGCCGGGGTGGTAACTAAGACTAGTCATACTCGTGTTTCGTCCCTAGATGGCGTTGCTCGTGGTGCTGGGTAGGTAGATCGCAATAGATGGCGTGGTTCGTAGTGCTGGGTAGGTAGATCATGACAATTGGTGGCGGGGTTCGTAACAGTATTTTCAGGAGTTTTAATGCGATGTAAGCAAACACAGAGTTACCTTTTCTCATAAAATGCGTAAGCCACTGTACCATGTATAAGTGCAGGCGATTGTACATATATACCTTCATTGTCTATATACATGCTGAACTGATGACAAAAAACAGCAGATAGTTGTGCTTCATTTGCCATGTTCGTGACTTCAACTTTCAGCTCCTGTTGCTTTCACAAACTGATGAAGTACTTCCTTACAGATCGTGTTTGAAGGTCGCCTCAACAAGGAAGGGAATGAGATCGCTCTTGATGACTTAACTATTAGTTGGGTGAGTAAGAAGGAAGAGCACGAGGATGACACACTACTTCAAGTCTCCTCTGAGTCTGATATCTTAACATTTCTTGATATAAATGACACGAGCAAGACGATCAACGAAACAGTCGCTCCTGCCGCTGGTAAAGCAGGAGAGGCAGTACACAGTGACAACAGCACTTGGCAGGCTCCTGAAGGAACAGAAGAGGACACCTCGACTCCTACATTAGCAAATCCTGAAGCTGTGACGTTAACTCCTGAAGTGACAAGTGAAATATTAGACAGAGGCGATGAAGTAGAAAAAACAGATGAGGTATTAGAACCATTTGTAACTACAACAGCACCAGATAGTCATCCTTCAAATGTTACATCAGCTACCCCGGCAGGAGAGGAGGAAGGGGTCCAGGGTAATAACACAACAGCACACATCCTGTCAGAACACCAAGATGGCACCAGTGAAAACCCTGACCAGATTCAAACATCAGTTGATATTGTTACAGAAGTGAGGCGAGTTTGTGTCTGCAGAAAATGTCCTGAACACGACAGACAGTGACCTGAATAGTGAGAACAAGGCGACCAGTCCTACCTTAACGCACGGTGAAATAGACGTTGAGGGAAATGAAACTTACAGTGAACTAAACCCTGACGGAAATGAAACTCACAGTGAACTAAATGCTGAGGGAAATGAAACTCACAGTGAACTAAATATTGAAGGAAATAAAACAACAGATTATAACGATACAATGAGTAGCGAAATGTTTTCCGGAGTCAACAACACGGGAGAGTTACCAGAATCGACTTTAGCTTATAATGACACAAATGAACCTGAAAACATCACTGCACCAGTCCTCACCTACCCCTTCCCGGTAGTAACTTTGTCCACAAATGACACTACACCTGACCCCCTAAGCCTCACCGAGCCCTCCACGTACCCCCAAACATCTACTGAAGCCATCCAAAAAGCTTCAACAAAACCTGAAGGACATATTAATTTTGATGACGATGAGTCTGGACTCACTCCCAATATTACAAGTTATCCAGTAGTTTCTCAAACATCTCAGTCTACTACAATCTTGGGAGACGTCCTGCACACCCCAGTTCCTCCCTCCCTTACGTCCTTAATCTCTACTGCAGTAACGTCTAATTCTACAGCTACTGCAGGAGGCGTCAGTACCATAGCTCCTGCGGCCACAGGGGAAATGCCTATGTCAAGGACCTCATGGGAGATTTTCCAGATCTTCTTGGTACTGTGTCTCTTCGGCCTCGTTGTTCTGGGGTTCCTCTATTGGCGGAAAAGGCGAAGACAGGACGACGAGATCCCAATGTTCACCAGATCCTACGCCGACTATCAGAACCCAACCTTCACTCCAGAAGACGACTCCAGCTTTGCCTCTCACGGTGGACGACCCAAGTACAATTCTTTTGAGTAGTTTGAGCAAATTATATCCGGATGTGTTGGTTATACTGTATAGTTATTAAACATCTAGGTGGGAGGATAAAAATTACATTGAGTTTGGGTCTATGAAATTTATATAAAAAGCACAAGTGTCTTATATTAAACAGCAGAGACAATAAGATGATTTGTTTATAGAACTTTTCCCGATCAGTAAATTTTATTAAGTAGAGCAGATTTCTTGCCATTAAAGTTCTTGTATAAATGTAAATACAGTATAATTATATTCTTTATCTGGGAATTATTATGGCCAACAACAATATTCAGTTTCTAGAAAAATACGGAACTATTACTGTTGGAACGATCATAATATTAGGTACACCAAGTCACTCAGTGCCTCTTCTCCCATGATCGTGTTCACACATTTAACTGACAGACAGAATGATCTTCAATATTCTACACACATCTTTGAAATTTTGCTGATACTGAAATAAAGTTGTTGATTGGCAAGAATGAAAATGTTTTACCAAAATATATTTATATAATATATTTGATTGTTAAGTGGTTGTCATTATTTCAATAATAATTAATATTCAAATCAATACTATTAGAAGGAATAATTTATTGATAATACTGTATAAACAACTAATTGTACAAGTGAAATATATTTTTATTAACAAAAAGATTTCCAAAACAAACTACGAAGAAATGTAAATAACATGTATCAGTTTCCTCCCTTATTGTACTGTACATATGTAAATTACTGTGTACTTACTTTTTTTTATAGAAATATCGAAGCTTAAGTGTGTTATGTAGACACAAGTGAGAATATTGGGCCAAATAAATATAGTTTACTGTTTATGTGTTTAATGAATTACTAGTTGAACTAAAAATATCTCATTCAATACTCATTGATCTTATATTAGTGGAACATTTGAATACTTAGAGAGTTTATACACGACGACACACCACAATATTCTCGTCTTCTTCCATGAATGAAATCTCTTATATGGTTCAGTGATTATCCATCTAGCTATCTTTATTATTATCAGCGAGAACAACCCAGTAATTACCGCACTATTGTAATCGGAGGTAATTCATCTCTCTTTTTCAAGGTAAGGTTTTCTGAGCTAAACATTTTATTGATTTGAAAAGTATTCTAATTATTCTTAGATAGAAATAAATGCATTTTTGCTCAAGTTGAAGATTTTTTTATGATATATTTCAGTATATCAGAAATGTTGGCTGTTATGTTTGGTCACAGTTGGCACAGTGTTTTGACAGTGGCGGGAAGAGACGCTATATAATGAGGTTCTTGCCGAAGCCAAATTAGCCGAAAGGCAAGATGACCAGACTTCTCAAAAACAGACAGATAGACCGGAACTTCTCATTTAGACAGCAGAGAAAGGACGACTCTTCTTCATATTTTCGGTATGCTTTATTTCCAATTTATTCGTGGTTAAATTTATACTTAGGATTAAGTATTTATCTATGAAAAAAGTCATTGTAATTTACATGCTAAAGGCTGCATTAATAATATTTATTCAGGAAAGTTGTCATGCAGGTTTTCAATTGGATAAACATTAATATAAACAATTGGGGAGCTGGTGGTAGAGCGGTACCGTTCTTGCCTCGCAAGCAAGACGTCACGGGTTCGATTCCAGGCCAGCGGAAGTTGTTTGGACACTCTTCCTAGTACCCTTTGTCCCTGTTCACCTAGCAGCAAAGTAGGTACCTGCTGTAAGTCGAAAGTTGCGAATTCGTAGTCAGGGACAAGTTGTTGGAACTTCCAATAACTTGCTTAGACATAAGCTATTGACTCTTCAGGCTTCTACGGCATGCAAAGACCCAGTCGATAATTTAGGTGCCATAATAAAAACACAGTTCTGGTTCATCATAAATGAGTACTGTAATGGTGTGTTGCAGTTGTCTGTTGATATGTCAACATTTACCTGATCTATGTGGCTTCTTGGCGCTGTAAGAGTCACCTGTTACGGAAGTTATTGAACTGCTGACTGCTGACTTGCCACAGTTGTTACTTGATTGTTCATGTCATCTTGTGATGACAATCATGTAAAAGTGTACAGGTTATATACTCAGGGGGAGGGTAGTGGAAACAAGTGTGCCGACACAGGGCCAGGGGCAGCA